AAAAGTGAGGAATAGAGTTTTGGCATAAAGGTAAAGTTGAGAAGAGTGAAATGATCCTAAAGGAAAGATGAAAATAGAATGTAGAACCCTAATCCTAAAATAAAATAAAGAGAAAATAAAATGACACTTTTTTTAAAAAAAAAAAAGGTAAAATGTTAGTACTAATAATACTGGTTAAAAATAAAAATGTAGTAATTGAAAAGGTAAAATCAGGTGACGAAAAAAGAAAAAAAAGTAGTTTCTTAAGTAAAAGGTGAAAAAAATAAAAATGTGCGGTAGTGAAGGTCATTCACTTCCTCTACTCTTCTGTTTGACATGCCTCAGTCCTGTCAGGTATTCAGGAGAGTGTTGAAGTTCCCTGCGATACACTGTTCCTCCGTATTGTAAACCACAGTCCTGATTTTAAAGCAGGCAGTATTTCTTTGTTTCCCAGTCTGTCTTTATTTGTGTTTACAGAAGGGTCAGTTTGTGGTTCAGCCCCTGGGTGGCAGTGTTTCTGGATTGACCTCCGAGGCTACAAGTACTCTCTAGCCAGTTTTTAGTTTTTGTTTTCTCTATCGCACTTGATACTGGTTTGGGAGAGTCGACTACCCTAGAGCTGGTTCCTTGGTCATTACTCCCCGCTCTGATTCCCAGGTTCCACAAAAACTACTTTCCTCTGCAGTCTCTCTGAGTGACCCCAACTGGGAGATCCTATGTACTGGGTTTAATAACCAAAAGCAAAGATTTAAGGAGAAAACAAAACAAAACAAAACAAACAAACAAAAAGAGCCAGAGTGCGCAATTCTCCCAAAGTCTCTTCTGCAAGTCCTCTCTCCCCTGGCACTAAGCAGCCAGCACACTGGCAAAATCCGAGGCTGCCTTTTTGGACCCAGTCCAGCTATGGGCTGATTTTTAGAGTTCCCTTCTGCCAGCAGCCCTGTGGGACCCCTTCCACACTCGAGGATCACGCTGGCCCCAACGGCAGAGGACTTTGTGGGGTGCAGACTTCCCCCGCGCACGCATTTCTCTCTCTGACCTTAATTACAAACCGCACTTTATCTGGGCAAAATCTGACCTTTCCGTGAGGAGGAGCAGGGCTCGTCTGAGTCCAAGTATTCGCGCTGCTTGAGATCCGGTGTTCCTATGTTCATAGCTGGACCCTGGGTGCCGTGGTTGCAGGGTTTCTGGATGTATACGCTTCTGATATCAGCCACTCAAGATGGTGCGGTCTCCGTGGCTGAGCTGGCTGCTCCAGGAGAGATTTCAGCAGCAGTGGAGGCTGCCCTGTTACAGGAGCCCGATCTGGCAGTCTCCAACAGTCCCCTGGAGTATAGCTATCACTCACTCACAAATTTACACTCTCAGTACGTCCACACACTCTCCTTTCGTTCTCTCACTCTCACACTGTCTTGCAGTCTGCCTTCCTTTCAGCAGCCATCTTCTCATTCTGGCTACTACTTTTCCAAGTCTTCCTGCCCTGCTTCCCTTCCCCACCTCTCCTCAGGCACCTCAAGTCCACACCTCCTTTCCTGCACCAGTGCCTTGGGTGTGTAGTTGCAAATGAAAATTCTTGTGCTCTGGGTTTAGAGATTTAAAAAAAGAAAAATATAAAGGGAATAAAAGATGCAGCTTTCTCCCCACTGGCTCTGTTCTGCCAGGTCTAGACTCTGCTGCCACCATCAGTCTTGCTACTTTTCATAGCTCCTTGAATGATATGGGCACTGCAGGTCATGCCACTGTAGGTCCAGAGGTGCTACTCATCAGTCTGCTGGACCACTGTGTGTGCTCTGGGCAACACCCCTCTCGTGATCTCACTCTTCCTACAGGTTTTCAGGTACCTTCTGTTCTTCTTTGTTGTAAGTCACCTCCTCAGCTGAACCACAGTTGGAATTTCCAGGTGAATGTTCTCCTTTTTAGTTGTATTTCCAACCTTGCTCTGGGACAAGGTGCCTGACATGTCTTCCTATTCAGTCTCCATTTTCTCCTCGCCACTGATATTCTTAATCTCAATATAACCCTTTTAGTTTCCTTCATACCACTTACCACAATTTTAAAGATTTCTTCTAATGATGTTTTATCACTGATTAATTTTATAGATGGTTAACCTTGTGAGGTACATAAAGAAGGAAACACTTATGGAAGTGCACCATGGTTTTCAATCTAGTATAGGTTCATCTAGTTGGTATCAATTTGGATACTTTAGAAAATTATCCTATCTAATAAAGAGGGGATATGCAAATTAACCATCACTCCACAACAAGGATGGCAGCACCCATAGCCACCAGGTGGGACACTAGCATCGTCGCCCGGGCAACTAGTTTGATGGTTTGCCTGCTGGCGGCTCCTACACACAGTTCCAACCACTGAGGGGAGGTCACACCCCAGGGCCACTGTCTCTGCTGAAAACCAGGAGGCTGCTGCCCAGAGGCCTAGGTGAGAGCACGGCTCTGCCTCCTTGTTTTTAGACACACCAGGACACAGGAGCAGAGCTCAGCCTTCACAGTCTCTCCAGAAGCAGCCTCCCAGGGCAGTTGAGCAGACTGGAGGTCATGCCTCGGGCTCTGCACCTTCTGGCAGGTGGGGAAGAAGCAGCTCGGCTCCTCCTCCTCTCCCCAACCCCATCCCTTTCTAACCAGGGGCCTCATTGGGAACTTAACTTTATTTGTTAAACAAGGGAATTCTGGACAACGATTGTCCAACCTCTGCCAACCCAGCGGGAGAACACATCCAGGCCGGGTTGCCCCTGACTGCCCAGGGCCGGGCAGTGACTGTGCACAAGCACACACCTTTCTTTCTGTGGGAGAACACTTCCAGGCAGGGGTGCCCCCGCTGGCCCGGGACCGGACAGTGACTGTGCACAAGCACACACCTTTCTTCCCGCAGAAGATGGACGGCTGCTCAGAGAACTCTGTGGAACAGCAGAGATCTGCCGAGCAGTTCCTGGGCATCCGGCGATGAGTCCGTCTGTGAAGAGGTTACTGGAGAAGGGTGTCTCTCTGCCACAGGTGCTCCCGGCCAACCCCTCTGACACCCCCAACAGCAAGTTTTCCCATGGAAACTGCAATGCAGGACAAGACCTGCCTTTCCTCACCACTGAGCTCTCTGAGAACTAAGAAAGAGGCTTCCAAAGCTGTGACATTGAGCGCTTCACAAAAACCCACACGACTGCCTCCCCAGCCAGCACCTCATGCCTACTATCACCTATGGGTCTTCCATGTTTGTTCACCCAAAGCTATGACAGCCCACCTCCATCGCTGCAAGTTTAGGGGACTGTGACGGAAGAAGGCACCATGACTGCTCCGGCGATGCAACAGTGGGGCAGCTCAGGTTGCAGAGAACTGGCCGCATTCCCAATGCCCAGATCTGGTTACTGCACAGGATCAAGTCTCCGACTCCCCAGGCCGTGCCTTCCCCATAAGCTATGGACAGCCCCGATGGGCACCGCACTGCTGGGCAGCACGGATCAGATGCATGAAACGCCCCCCCCCCCCCCAGCCCAGGAACGAGACAGTCTCAGGCAGCTGGTCACAAACTGGGCCACTGCAGGATGTCCCTGCTGGCCGTCCCC